GTTGATTGCACATTAGGCTGAATAACCTAGACTTTTTAAATCATTCTTATTTTTTTATTTTTATTTTTTATGGAGTAAAGACTCTACCCTAGTAGGTGAAGATGGGGCTTTTCCTAGAAGGGATGAATGTCCTCATTGCCAATTATTCTGAGAAATGGTTAACCCTGAGGAGTAAGCAGTATATTTGGTGGCATAGCTTAGTAGGTAAGAGAATATTCTAGAGCCAGACTTCCTGAGTTCTTGTCTCAGCTCTGCCACAATTAGCTGTGTGACCTTGAGCAAGTCACTTAACCTACCTATATCTCAGTTTCTTAATTGGTAAAATGGGGATAATAATTCTCAAATAATTTAAAAATAATTATTAAATATGTTAATTTTAAAGTATTTATTGCAGTAATTAGAATACAGCAAGTAGTATGAGTATGTTTGTTAAATAAACCTGTTTCTAGGGCTGGGTAGTTTGGGGTCTGAGCCATGAGTTATGGAGATGCTTGGAGAGTCAAGAGATGGGATGAACTACCACCTGAAATTGAGCTGGACATGAGATAAACTTTTCTTTCTGCTGGGCTTACATCTGTTTAAGGGAATTGATGTCTCAGAATTTTCATCAAACTATACAACCTGTTGAATGAGAGAAACTGCAGTCACTGAGCTAACTCCTGCCTCCTATCTATGCAAGTCACCAAGCAGCATCATATTGTCACCTACCATCCAATCTCCTGCATTGAATTTAGGTCTCAATCACCTTCCCAAAGTACATTTATAGATGGAGCTGGGTAGAGCTGCTCCAAATCAGCCAAGGGCCAATAGTTACTTTGGTGGCTCCTATTAGAGCTTTTGTAGAACTCTAACTCAAGAACATACTAATCTGCAAAAAATCCCATTGTGAAATTTAAGCATCCCAACCTCACCTCAATGATCTGAGTGCTCAACCTTCCATTGATCCTAATGGTTATGGTTCCAATAGAACCTAATGCTTATCCAATATCCTAATACCATGGCAGAAGCCAGGTCTGGTTCATGGATGGGTTGAGAAACAATGACAACCAAAGACAGATGAGGAACTACATGGTATCTGATATATTTTCAGGTTTCTGAAAAGCAGAAAATATAATTCAGTTACACTAACACAGACATCAGTGGTCTTTGAAATTCAAATAGATCTAGTAATAACCCAATGACCCTTTCTGAAAGTGATTTTGATAGTTATATAGTCCCCAGGGAACTGGAGCTAATCTTGTGATTCAAATAAAGATGTTTCTAGGAATAAAAATGGTTCAAATAAAGATAGGAAAATTATTTCAGTAAATACTATGCACTTACTTATATTTATATGTACAGGAACACTCTTAATTTGCTTGTTCATTATAATACCATAGGACAAATGAATTCATCAGATGAGGAAACCAGGAAGTCTTTTCATTACAACAGTAGAATTTGGTCTTATACTTGGACCCAGGATGTATCTTGGTTCTGGATTTGTTCTTCATTCTGGATTCATTCCCTTAGAACTTGGAATCATCTTCAAATAAAATATCTTTGTTGTCAATGCATCTAAAACAATCCCTGCCATATAGTAAGCATTCAATAAATATTTGCTTACTAAAGGAATACCATATAAAAAAATTTAAGGATATCCAAAGTGTATGTGAACTGCTGTATGGAAAGTGAATTTGCTCTGGAAGTTTTCACCCAAATCACAATTAAAAAAAAAAAAAAAAAAAACTGGGGATACCATATCTTTGGCTATTTTGAAAAGGATAAATCTATATTGAAATAATCAGTTTTGAACAATGTAGAATAAGATTATTACCAGACACAATCACTGTTGCACATCAAATTGTTTATTAAGCATTTAGCCACATGACAAAAGATAACATTAAAACACAGAGTATAATCTTAAATCATATTATCATAGATTACACAGGAAAATATCTCAATAAACATTTACCTGTCACTGCTGATGACTGTAAGAGCAAGAAAACCTATGATTTTTTAATCAACAAAAATTACCACCAAATAGCAAATACAAGTTACTGAGATTAATTTTTAACACAGCAAATGATATTTCTTTGTTGATGAGAGACTGAACAGATGTAATCACGAGCTTCCACATAACTTTGGAGAGAGAATGGTGAGGCTACATATAGGCTCTGTTCCAGGTAGCCAGGATGGTATTTATCTTCTTTTCACTCAAGTTTTCAGGAATATTTCTTTTCAACTTTTGGTCTCTATAGGGGCAAATGAATGACATGAGCATATGGCTACATTCAAAATAATTAGAGTTAACAGTTTTGTATGCTGTTATTTAAATATAAAGAAGATTTCTGTATATAACATTTCTTCACTAAAATGGAGGCAATAATGAAACAAAAACTTACTGAAGGAAATTTTTTTAAGCTGAAGTTACGACTTCTCTAATGATGAATTTTATCAATATCAACCAGAATCTCTGCCTAATTTTCTACCCTTTGTAAAATATCTCAAAATTATGACTGTATGGATATGATACAATAATCTTAAATAACCACAAGTTATTTATACCAAAGTATTAAGATTTTTCATTGCTTTAATCAACCTGCCTAGCATAACATACATGCATTATAATTAACTGTTGTATCTGTGTTATGGAGATGCCCTTCAATAAGGTGTTGGACTCCTATCCCTTATACCTCTGGATTTAATGAGGCCATATCAGTGTAGGATATGTCCTACACTGAATCACTTATGTGCTACATAAGGAACAACATAGACACAAGAGACGAATAAACACAAACGAGTGGGGGTGGAAGAGAAACTTGACAAAGAACCCAGGAATGCTGGGAGACAGGGATCTTCCTTCAGAGTCAACAGTGGGCTAGGGACCTCAACTTGTATTTCTAATCTCTGGAATTATGAGAAAATAAAATTCCTGTTCTTTAAAATCATTGCTTGTGATATTTCTATTATAGTGGCATTAGGAAATAAGACAATATCCTTTAAAAAAAAAAAAAAAAGAAGAATATTCTTACCTGACAATTTATTCCAAGTATAATGACTCCACAACAGTTGTGACTTCTATGAGAATCAACAACATGCCATTGTTTCTGATAATTTTTCAGAGCTACAGTCAGTTGGGCAATCTACTTCTGCAGTGATATCGCCTCGGAAACCCAAGGAGGGGTCACTATGAGTTGGATCCAACTCGACAGCAGTGAGTTGGTTGGTTGGTTACAGTCACTCTATATGTTATTGTGAGCATATGGGAATGTGATCATGATATGACACAAGATTATTATATATGGTCATATATAGGTTTCAGGAATGTTAATCACGTTGATGGCCCTCATTTTATATATATATAACTTCCTGCAGTTCTTTTGTCACCCAACATATTTTTATGTTCAGAGCAATAGAACAATTTTAAAAACATGAGCATGTTCCCCAGCAGGCTCTTGATGTAACTTTGCAGTTGCTCTGGGCAGGGCAGTCCCTCTAAGTTTATAAGCAAACTTGAGAAAAGTTCTTGACATACCAGGAAAAGGATCTGATGTCACATGACATGTTTTGATTGAGAAGGTGGCTTTCTAGCCTCACCATTCAGGAGCCATAGATAGGTTTCACACATAAATGAAACTCAACTTGTAACATTTGAGTTTTAGAGCACTATTGTATTGTCAAAAAACTCTCACTGCTGATGAGTTGATCCCACTCAGTGACCCCTCCTTGGGTTTCCAAGGCAATATCTCTATGGAAGTAGATTGCCCAGTCTTCCTTCCAAGGAGTGGCTGGTGGGTTTGAACCGCCAGCCTTCTGGTTAGCAGTCAAATGCCTTTAGGCACTACGCCACCAGAGCTCCCATTGCATTGTAGGCATTCATAATTAAAACTAAGAACAAAGAAGATAAAGCCCTGTATACTCAGTAAAATAAATTATTTTATTTACATTCTGCATCCATATATATTGTGATAAAGGGCAACGGGAAAATGAAGAGGAACAGAGTTAAAGAAAAGCAAACTTAAGGGAGATGATCACAGAGACACATTCACCCCACTCCTACCCCCCAAATGAAACTAAAAGAAGTAAAAAGAAACATAAAAGCCAAACAAACTTTCATAAAATGATGCTCTTAAGATAATCTAATGCAAAGACTTTTAAAGTTGATTTTTCTCCCCCACATATAATTTTAAATAGCCCCCATTTGCTAAACCATATTTATTTAAGATATTTGCCTTAAAAGTAACACCATCTTGCCTTCAGCTTTTCTTTAGTAGATACAGGGTAAATCCCTCACAATTACAAAAAGCCTAGTAATATAAACATTTCTTTTTTCTAAACTATAAGTTATCTGGCTTGTTATTTAATTTCCAGAAAGTATATCATCAGTCCCACTAAATTCTCCTTTTATTATTTTCATTAATTTTCACTTATCTTAAGTTTGCCATTTTAACGTATAAGGTTGTTATGATAGAAGTTACCTCAATAAGTGTTGTTTGAAAAGTCTGAGGGAAAATTAAAGAGACATGTAATCGATAAAAGCGAATTGCTGTCAAGTTGATTCTAACTCATGGCAACCCCATGTGCATCAGAGTAGAACTGTGCTCCACGGGTTTTCAACGGCTGAATTTTTGGAAGTAGTTTACAAGGCCTTTCTTCTCAAGTGCCCCCCACCCCATCCTCCAGTTACGCTGGAACTTTCAACCTTTGTGTTAATTACTAAGCAGGCTAACTGTTTGCACCACCCAGGGACTCCAATATGATAGTTTCATATAAGAGAGTAAAAAGTAAAAATCTGTCTTGGTTGTTAAAAAATTACTACAACTCATCATTCCTTCTATTTCTCCATCATATCATTTTACTTCTTCATTTTCCAGTGGAAGAAGTTCAGTCCTAGCAGCTTTACCTGTGGAAGCTGGGATAGGATCCAGGAACTTGGTTCAGGGTCCAAAGTTCTTACCTCTAGACTAGAAAACAGGCAGAAACTAGCCAAGGAAAGGAAGCTCACCTGCAGCTACTGTTCCTTACTCTTTTCTGGCCTGTAGCAGCTGGGTTGCCAGCTCTCTGATGTGCTTCCAGGCATGCTGGATGTGGGCAGACTCCACGGTGCGAGAGCAGATTGCAAAACGCAGCACAAACTTGTCTCTGAGGTGACATGGGACCAAGTGGATTTTTCTGGCATTGTTGATTTTCTCAAGAAGAGCTTCATTCAGTTTGTTGGACCCCTGAAACAATTGAAAGAGAAGAAGCTGTGCTCAGGTCTCCCGGAATTCAAATATTCAGCTCATGGAGTAGTAAAGCCAGTGTTTCACAATACTACAAAGCATCTGCGAAAGAAGCCAAACTTACCATTTGCCTTTCATTTACAAATATTGAAAAACATCAGCTCAATAATAGTAACCACCTCCCCCAATTAAAAAAAAAAAAAAAAAAAAAACTAGTCCCCATAGAGTTGATTCTGACTCATGGTGACCCCATGTGCTCCAAAAGGTTTTCCATAATGTTGTGAAGTTTTGGAAGCTTTCTGGGTTACATAAACAGTTTGTTCTTGACTGCTAACCTAAAGTTTGTGGTTTGAACCCACCCAGAAGTGACATGAAGGAAAGGCCTGGCAATCTACTTCCATAAAGCCAAAAAAAAACCTATGGAGCAGTTCCATTCTGAAGCACAACTCCACAAGAACTGGTTTGGTTGTTTTGGAAGTAGATTGCCAGGCCTTTCTTCCAGGGCTTCTCTGGCTTGTTCAGAACCTCCAAACTTTTAGGAGTGCTGAATAGTTTGCACCACTTGGGACTCCTAACATGACCCTAAAAGACTGCATCTTCTTCCCACAAGAGAACTTCTTTGTGTCTTAATGGGCTGTCAAAAGATGACCTTTCCATGGTCCAATTTTTTCTTTTTTTAAAAAATGAAGATTCCTGGATATGGTATCACAAATCGATGAGCTTAAATATTAAAACTGGGATTCCTAATGGCACCACGAAGAATCACTAAGTTCTCACTAAAACACACAGAAGAAAGTCCCAATAGCATACAAAATGAAACTTGGTAGTCAAGCTGTTGATTGAATCTGGGAAGAACTTCCACTAACTATAAGGCAAGAGGTTACAGGTAGCTGACACACACTCCCCTCTAGAAGAGAGAAGCCCACTGGGCTGCAGTAGAAGAGGACTTATCTCCTCCCACTGACTAGACCAGAGATGAAATTTGTTGAACTGAAACTGCGAAGCTGTCTGTTCTACCTGGGTACTGCTTTCCACAGTAACCAACTTGTGGCACTTTTCCAACCCTTTCTTCCATTTCTCTAACAACATAATTATACATTGAAGCTGTTGGTAATCACGTAAAACACTTGAGAAATTCAGCCAGGAGAAGAATAGGACAAAGAGATAATGAAAAGTTGATAGATCTGGGGGCAGAAAAACGAACCATAATACTTGAATAATATATAGCAAAAAAAAAAAAAAAAAAAAAGAAATTGAGTTAACGCAGTGGAAGTAACAAGCAAACTTTCGATAAAAGACACTTGTGAGCTGGAAGAGGTGTTGGGTGTCCTGAATGTGAGAGTTCACTGTATTGCACAAGCAAAGAATGGATAGAACACCATATACGTGTGGATTTGGTGTAATCTGTAAATTATGAGAATGAAGTAAAACTCTTAATGTTGAAAGCATTCTGCTAAGTGAAAGAAAAACCAGAAACCAAACTCACTGCCATCGAGTCGATTCAGACTCATAGCGACCTCCTTTGGGTTTCTGAGGTGGTAAATTTTTACGGAAGTAGATTGCCCAGTCTTCCTTCTGTGGAGTGCTGGTGGCTTTGAACTCCCAACCTTCTGGTTAGCATTCAAATGCCTAAGGCACTACGCCACCAGAAGCCAATTACAAAAGACCAAATACTGTATGATTTCACTTACATGAAATGTCTGGAATAGACAAATTTAAAGAACCAGAAAGACTAGTGGTTGCCTAGGACAGGCCTGGAAAAGAGGACCGGTAGTGCAGTGTTTAAGTGTTCAGCTGCTAATTGAAAGGTCAGTGGTTCGAACCTACCAGTTACTCCTCAGTAGGAGAAAGATGTGGCAGTCTGCTTCCATAAAGTTTTGCAGCCTTGCAAACCCCATGAGGCAGTTCTACTCTTTCCCATAGAGTCACTATGAGTTGAGTCCACTCAACAGCAGTGGTTTTAGAGCTGGCAGAGGAGCCCTGTTGGCATGGTAGTTTAGCACTTGGCCAATAACTGAAAAGTCTCCAGTTCAAACCCAGCAGCCACTCTGCTGGAGAAAGATGTGGCAGTCTGCTTCCATAAAGATTACAGCTTTGGAAACCCTATGGAGAAGTTCTACTGAGTCTTACAGAGTCACTATGAGTCAGAATGGACTTGATGACAATGAGTTTGTTTTGATTTAGGGTAGGCAGAGGGGTTGGAATGGGGAGTAACTATTAATGGAGATGGGTTTCTTTTGAAGGAATGAAGATGGTCTAAAATTAGACTGTGGTGATGGTTGCTCAACTCTGTGAATATATTAAAAACCACTGACTTGTATACTTCAAGTTGGTAAATTGTATGGTAAGTTAATAAAACTGCTAAAATTTCTTTTTAAAAAAGTCCTGCAAAAACATTGGCAGTAAGACAAAAACACAAATAACTGCTTGAAGACAAATGATTCTAAGCACAATGCCCACACCAACGTTTACTTCAATTGTCACATATGGTCATCCCACATAACCATACACCTTGAGACACCAAAGTTTGAAGATTTCCTCCTGCACAATTGGAGTGCAGCTGTCCTCTCTGCTTCTCCCCACGTTCTCTCAGCTCTCACCCCTTAACACCACCACTTCATGTTCTGTCTGCACAGTGTTGCCATCTCCCACCAGCCCTGGTTTTGCTATCTCCCTCTGGTCAGAACGTGCAATCAAGATGTGTTAATCATCACTGGTGACTGGAATGCAAAAGTTGAAAACAAAGAATCATTGGTAGTTGGAAAATTTGTCCTTGATGACAGAAATAATGCTGGAGATCGCATGATAGAATTTTACAAGAACCAACGACTTATTCATTGCAAATACCTTTTTTCAACAACGCAAATGCTGGCTATACATGTGGACTTCACCAGATGGAGTATACAGGAATCAGATTGACTACATCTGTGGCAAGATGGATCTTGTCTCAAAGCAAAGAATACCAGAAAGATGTTTACTTATGTTTTATTGATTATGCAAAAGCATTTGATTGTGTGGATCATAACAAATTATGGGCAAGATTGAGAAGAATGGGAATTCCAGAACACTTAATTGTACTCATGAAGAACCTGTACATAGACCAGGAGACTGTCATTCAAACAGGAAAAGGGAACACTGCATGGTTTAAAATCAAGAAGGGAGTGTGTCAGGGTTGTATCCTTTCACCATACTTATTCAATCTGTTTGCTGAACAAATAATCTGAGAAGTTGGACTATATGAAGAAGAATGTGGCATCAGGATTGGAGGAAGGCTCATTAACAATCTGTGATATGCTGATGACACACTTTGCTTGCTGAAAGTGAGGATGACTTGAAGCACTTACTGACGAAGATTGATGACTGCAATCTGAGGTATGGATTACATCTCAGTATAAAGAAAACAAAAATTCTCACAACTGGACCTGTAAGCAGCATCACAAATGGAGAAAAGATTGAAGCTGTCAAAGACTTTACATTGCTTGGTTCTACAATCGACGTCAACAGAGGCAGCAGTCATGACATCAGACGACATACAGCACTGGGCAAGTTGGCTGCAAAGGACCTCTTTCAAATGCTGAGGAGCAAGGATATCTCCTTGAGAACTAAGCCATGATATTTTCATTCACCTCATATGTATGTGAGAGCTGGATAATGAATAAAGAAGACCAAAGAAGAATTGATGCTTTTGAGATGTGGTGCTGGAGAAAAATGCTGAAAGTACCATGGACTGCTAAAAGAACTATCATATCTGTCCTGGAGGAAGTGCAGCCAGAATGCTCCTTGGAAGCAAGAATGGCCAGACTTCATCTCACCTACTTTGATCATGTTGTCAGAAGGAACCATTCCCTGGAGAAGTATGTCATGCTTGATAAGGTAGAGGGTTGATGAAGGAGGGGAAGACCTTCAACAAGATGGATTGACACAGTGGATGCTGCGATGGGCTCAAATATAGCAGGGATCATGGAGCTGCCATGGGACTGGACAGTGTTTCGTTCTACTGTGCATAGGGTCGCTATGAGTCAGAGACAACTCAATGGCACCTAACAACAACAACAACAACTTTGGTCAGAATTCAACTCTATCCTCTCTGCTTCCAGACTTTTTCATGCAGTTATCACAAAACTCTTGGGAACCAGGTAAGGGAAGAGAAGGGGAAAGTTGAGCAGCTGTGCCATATTCCCACTGGTAGCATCTTGACTCTGAGCTTCTGTGAGTGTACACATAATATGGGGTCTTGTTAAAATGCAGATGCTATGGTCCTGAGATTTTCATTTCTAACCAGTGACTAGACAATGCTGATGCTGTTGGTCCATGTGAACACTCTGATTATCCAGGTCATACAGAGCCATAGGCTACAGTGAAATTGAAGTGGCAAAGACATATAGGATGGAATTGGGGATGGGAAAAATGGGGAGAATACTAGGACAAAAGGATTACACAAGTCAGAAGTCTCAGGGCTCTGTAGAGGAGGTGTGTGTGGAGGATGGAGTGGAATGAATTGGACCTCTGGGTCAGGCTGAGAAATGAGGCTTTATGCAGTAACCTTGGGAGCTAAAGTAACTTTTGAGTATGGAGGTAAGGAAAGGATTTGTCCCCTTATGTCACATTCAGAGATGAAGTGTAAGAAAATAGATGTAAACGTACCTTTAGCCGAAAACAGACCAGCCCTAGAGTGACTTCGGCACAGATCTCAAAGCAGGGATCCTGGCGGACCAAAGCCTCAAACTCGTGAGAAAGCTGGACATGCTTGAAAGAAGAAAAGGGAATCTGTTTGAGTTTCTTATTTCCATTCATTCAGAACATAACCACCTAGAACATACTGCACATCTCTAATTCATTTGTGTGCTCTTAGCAACTTCCTTCAAATTTTATGTTACCCACTCACCAGCTTCCCCTCAGAGGTTGAGGAGAGACTCAGATATCATGAGAAATCTTCTAGTGTTTCCAGAAAAACTGCAATCATAATTTTCTTCAGTGAATGGGACAATTTATATCCCATCAAAACAATAGTTTATGATTTTAGAATACACACTCTAGAATTAGACATGATAGAAATCAGATCATACTTCACCTCTATGAGTACTTACTTTGTGTGAGCAGTATGCTGAGTGCCTCACTGGCATGTATTCCTCATAATATTCCCACAAAATAGATGATACCATGATTATACCCATTTGGTAGATGAAAAACAAACAAACAAACTGAAGCTCAGAGAGATCATGGCTAGGTCTTGGCTGACTTGGGATTCTAACACAACTACCTGATGGTAAGGAAACATATGATTGTTATGCCACAGTATTTACTACTGAAACATGGCATTCATATCAGTCACCATCAGACTAAAGAACCATCATACAATATTCCTCTCATTGAATATAGTACTCTCATTTAACTTCTAGATGTTTATAGAAGCTATAAGCTGATTAAAATAATATACCCACTTACCTTATCTGTGGTTAGGTTCCAATGACCAACGTGAAAATTGGTATTATACAAAAATGGAAGATGACCACATCAGATCACAAAACGGAAAATGACCACATCAGTACACAGCTGCCTAATTATGTCATTATATAACTACCAATTTACATCGTGACATCTTTACATCATTACTGCATAACTCCCAAATTTCATAATTACATAGCTGCCAAACCACTGAGAATAATGGCCTAGACAAATTGACACATAATCTTAACTATCACAGCCAGCATTACTCTCACTGCACCTCAGTGTCTCTTACTGCCAGATGTACGTCATTAATATGCAAAATAGTCTGATAGTAGATTTTTCTTGTCGGATTATGAGATAGTCAATAAGGAATAGGTGTATGTGATCTGAGGAAAATAAGCTCTTTATGGCCTAGGAGCACATTTTACTCATCCTAAAATAGGCATCATGCATGGTACTCCCACATTGAATATCTGAGTTGGAATGCTACCACCCTGGTAGATAAAGTTGTTGGAAATGAAACAGCCTGCTAAATAAATGAGTTATAGTCAATTCACTAGAGGGCGCCAAAGACTTGGGAGCCTGTAGATGAGGCCAAGCAAAGAAGCTGGTTTCTCGTAAAACTACTCACCAGCCAAAGGACAAGAGTCAGAATCAACATGATGGCAAAGGATTGGGGATTTTGTTTGTTTGACTTTCCTGGTAAGGCAGGATTGGGCTACACTCTGGGTGTGGTGTGTTTTATTAATTTTTCTTATTATGGTAAATATGGAGCTCTGGTGGCATAGAGCCTAAGGCATTTGACTGCTAACCAGAAGTTAGAAGTTCAAACCCACCAGCCACTCATTAGGAGGAAGATTGGGCAATCTACTTTCGTAGAGATACGGCCTTAGAAACCCAAGGAGGGGTCGCTATGAGTCAGGACCGACTTGACGGTAGTGAGTTTGGAGTTGGATGGTAAATATATATGGAACAAAACATTTGTCATATTTATATTTTTTATGCAAACAATTTAATAACTTTAATCAGGCCCATTTTGGTGTTCAACCATGACCACTATCTGTTTACCAATTTTTCTATCATCTGTAACAGACGCTCAGCATCCCCTAAACAATGAGTTCCCCTTTCCCCCTCTCTCCTATCCATGCTGGCACCCACCTTTGTTCTCTATACTCTTGCCTATTCTAGATATTTCATATAATTGGGAACATACAATATTTATCCTTTTATGTCTGACTTATTGAACCTTGCATGGTGTTTTCAAGGTTCATCCATGTTGTAGCATGTATGAGGCAACATAATCATACCTAATTGCCCCTGAGCTTAAAGATATAGTCATTATGGAGAAATGGGTCACTTGTTTTATGCCTTCTGTCTCCAAAGAAGCTGAATCCACTCTAATTATAATGTATTAAATGGCCAAAGAAGTGTGTTTTGCTCATAAATGAACACATATATTTCTTTCCTAGTTCTTTATCCCAAATAGATTGCCATAGTGCTTCACAGTTTCCTTAAGTTTCCTTAGAGGAGCCATGTAAGGTAGAGAGAGAGAGAGATGACACCTTTTGGCATTTGGAAGACCATCACCTCCCCTTTCACAGTAGAGAAGCTAGAGGCATTTAGCACCATGTCCAGAGGTATACAGCAGGTTAAGCAACTATACCAAAATTTAAAATCAAGGCCTTGCTACATTACTATAAGTAGAATTGGATCTTGTGGACTTAAGTTCATCAAGAAGAGGCAATAATTTAGAAAGGACATGGGATTGGGAAAGATGCCTTCTGTGGTTGGCTAAAAGTTTGCACTTCAGGCAAACCCTGGCATATGTTCATGTTTCAGTCTCCTTGGAGAGGAGCTGCATTAGATCAGTGGTTCTCAAACTTTTAGTATGCCTCACAGCTGCCTGGATGGCTTGTTGAAGCAGAGATTGCTGAGCCTCACCACAAAACGACCTTATGCAGTAGGTTTGGGTGGGGCATAACTTGCATTTCTACCAAGTTCCTAAAAACCAAAAAACCAAACACACTGCTGTCGAGTCAGATCCAACTCATAGTGACCCGTTCTTGGGGTTCTGAGGCAGTATCACTAAGGAAGTAGATTGCCCAACCTTCCTTCTGAGGAGTGACTGGTGGGTTTGAACCACCAGCCTTCTGGTTAGCAGTCAAATGCTTTAGGCACTATGCTAATGCTACTGGCTTCAGACCACCCTTTGGGAATTACTGGATGAGATGATATCTAAAACCCTACACATGCCTCCTGCCCAACTCTGAAGTTCCTCTAGTCTGATATTTTTCTTGAGAAGAAAAGTAGTATGTTCTCACTTTTGCTATTGTCAAATCTACCTTACTGTTGTATAGGTGTAGTTGGAGTAAAATCTACATGATATATTTACTTTACTTTCTCAGACCTGATAACCTGTTGTCTTCATGGAAGTGCCTTGAAAGATCCAGAATAGCGCATCAGACCATTTTATAAATATGGTAATCACAATAAGTTAAACTATCAGCTTTCTTTAGTATATTTGATTATTAAGAAATCTTAATTCACTTCTAAAGTCCCTAAAGACATCCATAACTTTGTCAAGATAAGTGGTAAAAAGAACGACACCTTGCGAATGTAGGCCTGCAGGCCTTTGACTCCATACATCCTAAAAACAAACCACATTTTCAAGGAGCGAAATCTTCGGCCCAATGGTAGTTGCCAATGCTGAAAGAAAAACAAAACTCAGTGTTATCAGTGAGAAATATATTAAAATTTGGTTTCCTTTCAGACTCATTTGTTCACCTATTCCTCATAAAAGCAGTCAATTCATTGGAAGTCATGTGGAAGACAAAACTCACCATAGTACAAAAACAATAGAGCAAAAGTTTTCTTTTGAGGGACTGTTGACTTAGAAGGCATTAATGTTCCTTGTAGTCACTCAAAAGGTGTTTATTGAATATTTCCTGGGGCAGGCCCTCTCTTGGACTTGGGGGTACCAAATTGAGCACCACAGAAGATGGGATCCTATACCCTGGACTTTATAATCCAGTGGTATTATAGAAGGATGTTTTTCACTGGTTTCTCTGCCTATAGGTAAGGAGGGAGCTGAAGGCCACATAATCTCTGCAGCTTGCTACTCATCATGTTCCAGCATCGTTTTCCAGAGAGATACCGATTACTTCTATTTCCATTTATAGCTATGGGATGACCCATCAGACCTTTGTCTTAGGCTGGATTCTCTAGAGAAGCG